AGCATACCTTCGATTCACTTACCCTTCCATCAGACCAAGATTCAGCATTTCCCGCTACTTCAATTTTCCGCTGAATTTGAAATTCTCGCCATTTTTCATGGGCGGGAATTTCAAATTTTGACCCCCTTTCTAAGCTCTCCGGTCACCTCTAATATAAAAATACCTGGGTCCTATTTTCAAATTCTGATCACAGCGGGCTCATCTAGTTACTATTACCTGTCGATAACCGCAAAATTCATGGAAATCAGTTCAGTAGAATTCTCAAACGAACTATGAATAAAATAAAAAAATTACATTGTTTAAATGGGAGAATTCGCAACTTTACCACGTAATATAAAAAAAAAAAAAAAAACTGGGTCATATTTTCAAAGTCTGAATAAAGTGGGCTCGTGTACAGACAATTGCCGCAAAAATCATGAATATTGGCCCGGTAGAAAGCTGGAACGAAGCGTCACCAGTTACGCAAATTTAGGAGGTCCCTGAGCTTATAGTATAAATTATTTCTTTATCAAGATTTATTCATATTTATTGGGTTTTTCTGGCTTTTTTTAACCCCGCAAAACAGTGTGAGCCAGCGTAATTCCACCATCCTGTTAGGTACCGAGAGTAGGTATTAGAGAAACAATTTAAGGGTTTTTTTATGTTTTCTCTCTTAAGATTTATTCTAGGGGTTTCACTTTGAAAGGATATTGGGATGTAGAAGGCAATTTCAATTACGAGTTGTTCGCGTTGATAACCATATTTGAGAGGTTTGGAGGACAAGCCGCACAAGTGCAATTTTTGAACACATGGAGATACTCATGAGCTTAACTAAAACTAGTTTAAAAATATATTCTGTGAAAAATTCACAACTTAAATCCAACTTTAAAGCATCAAAAAGTGAGTTTAAACTTTCTTCCTGCCACAAAGTGACATGTACTTAATTGTGGAACTTCAACCACGTATTTCTTGGGCAAGGGAAAAGGGACCATGCTTCAACGCTTGGGCTACGAACGTATGTCTAACTATTTTTTCTGAAGTGGTACGTAGGTACGCTATAAAAAAATGAGTAAATCGAACATCGATGTATAAACCAGTATTCCACATACCTACTATGGACTTTAAATTGCTTTCTTCCCCCAATGGGCCTGTTGCAAACTTTTGCTAGAGCAAAAATAAGAGTTGTTTCTTATAGATAATGCCTCAAAAATCACGATGAGCGCATCGGCAAAGTCTGAAATGCAATCATAACTTCACAGTCTGCGTAAGAAATTTGCGGTTTTTTGAGCTTCCCGCTTCAAAAGCGATACTACGGCACAGGTGAACATTTTGTAAGAGGAGTCGTTCCATCGTCGGCAATACTCATCATGGCCGACGCCAATCCGCCAAAACACGTGTGATGGGACGAGATAATACCTGAACTGGATTAGACCAGATAACAATTGGCGTGTTTTACGTTCATGTTTTCCACGCCCGCATTGATTGACCTTGAACTCTCCTCGAATTACGCGCAAAACTGCGCGCAAGTGTCGGCCATGATGAATATCGCCGACGATGGAGCGACTCCTCTAACAAAATATTCACCTGTGCCGTAGTATCGTTTTTGAAGCGGGAAGCTTAAAAAAACGCAAATTTCTTACGCAGATTGTGAAGTTATGAGTGCATTTCAGACTTTGCCGATGCGCTCATCGTGATTCCTGAGGCATTATCTATAAGAAACAACGCTTATGTTTGCTCCAGCAAAAGTTTGCAACAGGCCCATTTAGAACTGAAAATTTGTTTTCTTCTTTACCAATGCTTTAAAAACCTTCCTCTCTTTTTCCTTCGTCTCCTGTTTTTCAATTGTCCTCTCTTCTAGCTCCCTCTTATTCCGGTCTTTTACTCCCTTCTTTTCAGGATACATATAGGGAACAGTGCTGCCATATTCAAGTGCATAGCGACGGTGGAACTACCAAAGCACGTATCTCGGTTTGCGACGTCGCAGACTTCCTGTCATACTTTATTTTTTAAATGAAAAACTACTTAACATCCAGTCTTGAAAATTTCTGTGATTTTTCCTCTTTGTGCGGAGAAAATTCCGTGAAAATTTCAAGGAATAATATTGATTTGGTCTACTTCAAAAAAATAAAATGTGAGCGTAGATTTTTAAACACCGCAAACGAGATACGTGGTTTGGTAGTTTCACCGTCGATAGACCCGGGATTCATGCTCCTGAAATCCTGGCAACAGCTCGTGTCCACTGGAAGACATCGAACTGCACGGATTGAACATGAGTCAGCGCGATGCTGTTCGAAAACAATAATTACAACGAGCGCTAATGTACGACTCCAGCGTCTTGTTGCTGCGAGCCCGCTGAGCGGAAAATTGACGGGTGGCTCCTGGGATCTGCGAGAAAAAAATTGATTAACTCCGTAAAAAGTAAACATTTGGACTGCGGAGCAGCGAGAAAAACACGACTAATCCGCGTCACCTACGCCGCGCGTTGCACAGTGGATGGAGCTAATGGAAGAGGTCGGACATGACTCCTTCAGTTTCAAATTTTCATGTTTATTTGATCATAAATTCAATTTTAATGGTGTTCCTGAAAGATAATTTCCCGAAAACCCATTAGAATATTCTTGAACGTTTTTGTTCCATATTTTCGAAAATATAAGCTTTCAAAGTTTCCAGATTTTGTCCGGCTTCTCCTATTGACTCGATCCAGTGTGCGCCGCTCGAGATGGGTTTGAAACGGGGAAATAGAACTGCGTGCTTTCTTACCGCATCACTGATGAGGCCCTCTCAGACACTATAGACGCTATTTGTGCCCCGTCACAGTCGGTATCGATTGTATCGAACTGGATCCAAACAATCAAACACAACCTTACTATTCAACATGAAACTAAAGAATTTCAGAGATAATTCGCCCAGTTTCACCGAAAAAAATAATATGCTGTTTTAGCATCTAGGATGTCAAAAATGTGTCTGGTGATCCCAAGATGCTGCCTCTACTGCCCCCGCAGTTAATTTTACATCCTGTGAATGCAAATTCAACTGCGAGGGTAGTAAAGGCAGCATCTTTTGATCACCAGACACATTTTTGACATCCTAGATGCCAAAACAGCATATTATTTTTTTCGGTGTTGAGAAAAAAGTTGTGTTAGAGACAGCTTTTTTAATCACGGAACGTTCCCGCATTGTTAAGTTGACGGGATAAAGCAGTTTCAGAAAGGTGAAAATACCCACGAGGGCCACCATAATTTAGGCCACTCCTATGCCACTCCAGTTTCTTGGCTTTTGACAGTGAAATTCTGGGAGGGAGGTGTCAAGATGAGGTTATGTTTGATTGTTTGGATCCAGTTCGATACAATCGATACCGACTGTGACGTGGCACTAATAGCGTCTATATCGTCGGCACCGGCCGGCGCTGGTTATTCAGCGATGTCAGGAATCGAGATAGACTTTTCTTCCGGAGAAAACAATGGAGTCCAGTGGCGGATCCTGGGGGCCATGGTGGCATGCCCCCCCCCCTCTCCTCGGGCCCAAAAGGGAAACAGGCGATGAAAAGAAGGGGGAAAGGGGGTGAAAAAACAATGCCCCTAAAAATTTACTGAAATGGTTTCAAAATGGATTGTTTCTTAAAATCATGTTGACATTGTCTGGCTGTTATGAGGCTCATACTTGGTCCTTCACTTTCATGGATGTAAGATTTGGAAGCCACGCGATGTTTCATTCGTAAGAAGTCATTGGTGGTCCTTCCCCTCCTCTCTCTTGCCAACGAGTTCAAGTTCTTCGCCATTGTTCTAGCCGAGAATTCATACCTGTGCGATCTCCCACCGGCACGGATCTGACTCTCCGTTTTCGCTCATTCGCACGTTTGCCGTGTGAAAAATAACTGATCGATGCTAAAAGCACGTTGCTTTGTGGCTTTTGACTTTTACTGAGTGTACCTAGACCAAATTTAAACACTAAACGACTACGATTCTGCCAAGCAAGCAAATTAACACTTTTATTCGCAGCTCTCAGTCATCGGAGGGATTTTACAGTGGCTCATCGAGGAGGAAGACATCAAAAAAGAGAAAAGTAAAAAAATAAATAAGAAAATTGTGAACACACTTCGAGCGCAGTTTTCGACTTATTAATTTAGATTGGATATATCAGTGCGAGTGTACAACACATCCTTGTTGCACACACGCACGCACCACCACCCTCACACACATACATAATGATACTATAGATATGCAGACATAGTGCCGCACTGATTGGTGGAACCAAGTTGTGACTCTTCTTTCTTCAGTATATTTTTTTACTATGTCATGAGGTCCATACAGGCAAATTTCATTGTTCCCAAAACAAATGACCTATATTTTTATTTCATTTTATTTTTATATTTTTAACAGAGAAAGAAAGAAAATGAAAAAAAAATTGTCCTTAGCCGGTGACTCATCTTACGCTAGATAACAAAATGCATCGAAACCATTTTCAAATCACTAAAAAGCATCTCGTCCAAGTCGGGAGTTCTACTTTTAAAACTTTGGACCCTATAAATCATTACATTCGTTTAAATAATTGGAATTCTTTAACTATCAAATGGTAGAACCACCCCTCAAAAGGAAACAAGGGTGAATTGACTACGGCCAACTGGGTGTCCGTAATACCTACACGCCCAAGAATTTCTGTCCACGGGGTGTCCGCCATTTTCACCATAGGGATAAACTATAGTAATGTTATTTTCGCAAAATTATAGTTTGCTATTTTCGCACAATAAAATTACTATTTTTGCAAATTGTTTTGTCGTCCTCGCCACGAGAGTGGGCATTTTAGCAAAAAAAGTGAATTGCAGAAATCGCAAACCATGTTTTGTCATTTCAGCAAATATTTTTCTTCCGCGTGATTTATCAGGATTATGTCTGATCATGTCCGCGAAACATTTTTATAACCGTAAGAAAATAGTTTTCAAGGTCTAGCCATCAGCCTTTACACATTAGATTGCTCCTTATATCGGGCCACTTTTGACGTAAGAATCACTGAAACACGAAATATTTTTTTTTTATAATAAATGTTTATTTACAATTTTTTATTTTTTTAACAAAAAGTCTTGAGGAACACAACCACAAACACCGGTTTGCATCCTTATTCTTCTTCATTTTTCTTCTGTCGAGTCAAATTACGTCGGTTCTAATCGGAGAACCTATAAATTGAGGGGCTTGGAAGACTAGGCACATTAGTGCAGGTTATGAAAAAGTTGAGATATTAATGCGATTTCAAGTAAAACTAGTTTTAATGCATACCTATTCTGGGCAAAATTCGTTGTCAAATTCCAATTTTTCAGCATAAAAAAGTCAGTTTGAACTTTCTTTTCACCATAAGGGTCTGTATAATTTTGAAACTTCCAAAGTAAAAACTGCACTCATGCGTCGTGTCCTCTAAGCCCTCTAATTGTGTCCTCTAAAATTTGGCACGCGATTGAAGTAAAATAATATCATAGAAAGGAAAATATAGACAAAAATAAGGGTTTATGAAAACCCGATGGACTTACATGTGGATATTTTTAAGCTAAGGCTTCATGAAAGCTCGATGGACTTACATGTGGATATTTTTTAACTAAGGCTTTATGAAAGCTCAATGGACTTACAAGTGGATATGTCTAAGCTAATTGGAACTATTTGTAGAATAATTAAATCAAACGGAAGTTCTTGTATCGGATCTACATGCTTCATAGTTCCTTTTCATTTATATCAATGGAAGATAGTTCCTTTCAGCATAAATATGTCCTTTGAGTCACTAGTTTCATTTAGCATAAATATGTCCGTTGAGTCACTTTTGCTCTGTCATGGGTTGAAAATTCCACTCATTCCCATGACATGCTCAATCCTCATCGCTGTAAACCAACCAATCTGCCGCCAATATTGTTCAAAACTTCTGTCGCTCCACGAGAGAGTTTCTTAACAGATTCTACAGGAATCTGCAAAATATAAAATATTTTTAGATAATATATACATAAAGAAAATACTGTTTTAAATTATGCATGTTGCAAAATAAGGTAATCCGCTTCATTTTAAAGAACACAGAAAGGGACGCTTAAATATTTCGTAAGCTACTGAAAGGGGGTGAGGGTCTCAATTTTCGGTCCCCATCTTCGCCTCCTCGGCGATGCGCTTTAAAATACGGGCACTTACAATATGCGATTTTGAACTAGTTTCTCGTGGGTTAATACTATTCAAAAAAAATGTGGGAAAATAGCTAGGAATTATATACGCCCACTATTTTTCAAAAATGCTAGAAATACAAATTTCTGAAGAAGCTCTTTGTCTAATGGGTCAACTGTTATTGGCTATATCAACTGGCACATAAATACAGTAAGTATTCGTAAAATCGCACGAAAATCACGTTAGAAACTTCAAAAAAGTCTAAAATCTATTCCTTAGTGCGTAGTTATCTGTGTAGTTTGCATCACGCTTTTTCAAGTTTCCCGTGTCTGCTGGCAGTATTTTTCCCAGTTCCGGTGACCGGTTTGCACAGATAAAAGAGTCAGAAAAACTATAATCTGAGTAAACAAACGATTTCACTAACATTTCGTATTGTATGATTCAATCGTTTTCAAGCATTTATTTCCTTTTTCTGCAAAAACAAAAGCTTTGAATGAATTAAAATTTCACGCAAGAAGAGTTTGTAACAGTTCGCGACATTGTTTGTTTATTTACATACAGGGTGTTAGAAAAGTCCCCTCCCCCCATCTAACTTTTTACCTAATTAAGGTAGAGGTTTGAAACTTGGAGGACGTTCCTTGTCAAAGGAAACTACTTTTAACCCCCCTAAAATTTTCAGGAGGCCTTCCTAGTGGGGAGGTAACGGACCCCAACTTTTTATTTTCAAATGGGAAGACCCTTCGTGTGATACCTCGTTCGAAAGACCATAAAAAAAGACCACTTTCCGCGCAACCCGAAGTCAATATATCTTAACCCGTTTCAAAATGGCGGCCGGTTAAAGGTCAAGATGACCGAAAATTGAAACCTAGGTTTTTTGTCGATGAATTTGCCTAAAACTCGGTTCTAGGGGGTATTTTAACAAGAGAAAAATGAATTTGGCGTTATATTTTCATAGAAACCAAAATAATTGTCAAAATGGCGGCTGTTTGAAGTTCAAAATGGCCGAAACTGGTTTTCTTTTCTAGCAATCTACCCCCAAATTTGTTATTCTCGTGCCATAAAACCCACAGGTTCTAAGTTTCAGGCAAATCCATACGCAAACAACCGAGATGCCAATTTTCGGCCATTGTGACATTCAACCAGCCACCATTTTGACAATTTTGGTTTTTATGAAAATATAACGAAAAATTCGTTTTTCTCTTGATAAAATACCCCCTAGCCCTGAATTTTAGGCAAATCCATCGACAAAAAACCTAGGTTTCAATTTTCGGTCGTCTTGACCTTTAACCGGCCGCCATTTTGAACGATAAAAATTGAGAGGGAAGAGTCCTATCAGACACTTCAAAAACATAATATTCACCTCTCGTTTTAGCGGTGAAACAACATTCGATTTGGAACTCGCTGACACCCAACGGTATATAACCTCCGAAAAGGCTCCTCAATGATTAGAATAATTTTCTCTGTTTAAATATGCCGTGCAAAGAGCGCCGGATCTTCCGCCCGGATCTTTCTTGAGTTGCCACGGTGCTTGGCCCTTTCCGTCCGTTTCCATGGACAGAAGTCAAAGCGAAGAGAGATGTGACCACGCTGCGCTGCCAAAGGTTCCGGCTACCTGCGAGCCTGCGACTCCGGAGCGGAAGATTCGAGTTCCGACGGAGCGCTAACTTGTTTTACAGTCCCTGCCCCTCCCATTTCAAGAGGTATTTAACCCCCCTAATTTTGGAGCACAAAATTTTCTTTTTGCGGCACAAAATTATGACGTGCTTTTTTTCTCTACATTCAAAAGTGGGGGCTATCGTTTCTGCAGCCCCCCCCATTTGAAATGGTATTTAACCCCCCTAATTTTGGAGCACAAAATTTTCTTTTTGCGGCACAAAATAGCACGAAATTAACACAAAATTATAACGTGCTTTTTTTCTCGAAATTCGAAAGTGGGGGACTGCTGCACCTGCGACCCTCCCCCTTAATTTGGGGTGGTATTTAAGCCCCCTGATTTTGGAGCACAAAATTTTCTTTTAGCGGCACAAAATAGCACAAAATTATGAGAGTATTACGGCATACATTTTTTTTCAAGAAATCAAAAAGGGAGGCAAGCATTTCCACAGCCTCCCCCCAAAAATTTGATGTGCCCGTTTACCCCCCCCCCCAAATTTACAAAAATTAATCGTTTTTTTTGCGGCACAAAATAGCACAAAATTCGCAAACACTTACGGCATACTCCATTACAAAGAAATTCAAAAGGGGGGCTAACATTTCTACAGCTTCCCCCAAAAAAAAAAAACTTGATGTGCCCATTACCCCCCTTAAATTTGAAAAAAATTAATGTTTCGCTGCGGCAGAAAATAGCACAAAATTAGCACAAAATTATGGCATACTCCTTTTCCCAGGAATCGAAACAGGGGGCAAACATTTCTACAGCCCCCCCCCCAATTTGGAATGCTGCTACCCCCCTTAATTTTGCGGCACAACATTTTTTTCTTGCGGCACAAAATAGCACAAAATTAGCACAAAATTATGGCATTCTTTTTTTTCGAAAATTCAAAAGTGGGGGGGCTACCGTTTCTATAGCCCCCCCCCCAATTTTGAGGAGCATTTCCCCCCTTAATTTTGCAGCACAAAATTTTTAGTTTGCGGCACAAAATAGCACAAAATTAGCACAAAATTATGATATATTTTTTTATTTAAGATTCGAATGTGGGGGGGGGCTGTAGAAATGGACCCGCCGATTGCGCGCTAAGGAGTGGATTTTAGATTATTTTGATGTTACCAACATGATTTTGGGCGAATTTACCCTTCGGAACGGTATTCATGCGGTTGGTTGTATCTCTTGCGTGCAGCAGACCCGTAGTGAAACCGATAGGTACGTATTCTCTTTTTCGGCACAAAAATAGGGTACACCGACAGTAATTCCTTTTTGGGGACTATCATACAAAATTCCTCAATTACTCCTTTACCAATGTTTTTCTCTAATGAGCCTGTTGCAAACTTTTGCAAGAGCAAAACTAAGAGTTGTTATTCATAGAGTATGTTGCAAAAATCACGATGAGCGCATCAGAAACGTCTGAAATGCACACCTTATTTCACAATTTGTATAAGAAATGTGCGTTTTTTCGAGCTTCCCGCTTCAAAAACGATACCACGGCACACGTGAAAATTTCGGTAGAGGAGTCATGCCATCCAAAACCCCTGCTCACAAGGATATTACAAAATATTCAACATAGCCGACGCCAATCCGCCAAAACACATGTGACGGGACGATGATTCTAACCACCTGATAACAATCGGCCTGTTTACATTCACATTTTTCTCGCAATGATATAGCTATCCGCCTTGATTGACCTCGTGCTCTCCTCAACTTGCGCGCGGAAGTGTCGGCCATGTTGAGCAGGGATTAAATGGAATGACTGTTCCTACGAGATGTTCACCTGTGCCGTAGTAGGTATCCTTTTTGAAGCGGGAATCTTAAAAAAGCGCAAATTTTTCACGCAGATTGTGAAGTTTATATAGGCGAGTGCATTTCAGAGATTGCCGATGCGCTCATCGTGATTTTTGAGACATTATCAATGAGAAACAACTCTTATTTTTGCTCTAGCAAAAGTTTGGAATTACCTGACATAACCATCGTATTACTGTAAAATGCCATGTTGGGTATTTTCGAGCGACAATATTATTCACCAATGTTATGATTTTTATGTTAAGATTATTCTTGAACTCATGCACTTTTACCCTCGTCACTCATCCGAGATCATTTCGCACTTCAGATGTTGCTCTCTCTTCGGTTTTTGAACAACACCAGATATATAGCTCCTACAAGTCTTCCCCTCTCTGATTTCGGCTTCTCACTCATTAACCCCCGCCGGCCACTTTAAGTCCGTCTCTTTGTCCGCGCCCACGAAAGCACGTACTGCTTTGAAATTCGTTCCAGTTTTTGTAAGGAAGCATTACCTCCACGCTACGTTGTTGATTCAAGCACAAATTATTTAACGTTTCACGCGGACGTTGAAGTCCTCATACAGAAGGGTGGCAACGTTGCGCCAAGTCTCAAGACTTCCATTGAACACTCTTTGAATTGATTTTCACTGGAGGATAAAGTCAACCCCCTGCTCTCTGAGCTTAAATTCAAAGGATACGTTGAGTATGCGTTGCCAATTTTCCAGAAAATTTCCAGTCAAATCAATAGGAATTTCTGTCAAATATATACAACGACAGGAATATACAGGGTTATCGAAAAGTCACTGACCACCCCTGTAACTTTTTTCCAAATTGGGATAGGAGTTTGAAACTTTGGCGATGTTCCTCGGTCTACAGTAGCAACTTTTTGGTCCCCCCCAAAATTTTGGGGGGCGGCCCCCTCTAAGGGAGGCGGGGGCTACCTTTTTTTTTCAAATGGCAACCCCCCCTTTGTGATACCTCATTCGAAAGATAATAAAAAAAGAAAAATTTTGGCGTAAACCGCAGGTCAAAATGTTGATTTTGGACAAAATGGCGGTCGGTCAAAGTTCAAAATGGCGGAAATCTGACATCTCCGTTGTTTATTGACAGATTGGCTTTAAACTCGGAGTCCTAGGGTTTTCCGAGACGAGGAAAACAATTCTGGCATTGGTTTTCCAGAAAAGTTGGTCCTTTTGGCGGCGGTCAAAATGGCGGCCTACCGCGGGATGTGGATATTTAGGCTGCCTGCTTATCGTTTGATTTGCATGAAACTTGGTATTTGGGGGTATCTCGGCACGAGAAGAACGAATCTTTCATTGGATTTTTGAAATTCCGACAAATTTCAAAATGGCGGCGGAAAAATGGCGGGATATCAGTTTTACGGCTGTTTACGGATGGATTCGTATGAAATTCGATATCCTGGTGGTTTTCGGCTGGATAAAAAGGAATCTTTCATTAGATTATTGAAATACTAAATAATTGATATCGAATTTCATGCAAATCCATCGGTAAACAGTTCAGTGAAAGTTCAGTTCGACAAACCAGTGCAACATACAGAAAGTTCAGTTTGACAAACCAGTTAGACGAACAGAAAAATCAATTTGACAAACAGCAATTTGATCGCAGTTTGACCGTACCATAGTATGTAGGTAATAGAACAACGCATCGCCACTAGTTTCATGCTGAAAAGAAGCTATATTTATAATTAGTTTTTCTCTAGTTCACTAAGCCAGCCTTCTGTAGCATTAGACACGTTCGGTCTCTCATAAGCGTTTCGTTGTAAGCTGAATGTTTTTTGAGTGAAAGACTTACATTCGTGACCTTGTTGACAAATTCGGAAACCTTTTCAACTCCACCTACGATGCTTTTTCCGACTCGGTTGAATTTGTCACCATCATTGCCATATTTCTCTTCCTCAGTTATAGTGTCCACAATCGGCATGGGCTGTAAGTCAAAGAGACAAGAAATAAGAGTGAAAAACCGTCAAGTTATAATAGTTTCATAAAATAACATTGATGTTGATGGTTTGAGCGTGCTCCTTAGCGCAAGATTTTCCTTCCAGAATATGCTTACCTACCTTACATTTGCTTTCTTTCTTTCTTTTCTTTTTTTTTTTTGCATTACTACCCAAATATTTAAATTTGTCTACAGATGGTTTTACCTCGATATACTTAGACGTAAGTGACGTGAAAACACATTTAATAACATATTATGCGTCCTCTGAGAAACATCCTTAATATTCGACGAAGTCATAAACTTTAAAAGGCATGAATGCATAATGAAAAAAGAAAACTTACATGCTTTTATGTCAAAAAGATACATTAATTTACATGTATCACAATTAACCTGGAAAGATAGTTGAAGCCTTAAATCCAATTTACTAAACGTAAAATGCAGTTTAAGTTTACCCTAAATTTTTGGGTATTTTTTTTTTCAAATCTAAAATTAATCTCTCGTAATTTTTCAAAGTGATCTTTTTTTTATTTTTCCGAAGCACTTCCCACGGCATACAACAAATAATATACAGCGACATCGAAATAAATGACAAATCCTCTTAAATGCCAGCATAGTGCTAACACAGAAGAGAGCTAGCGGAAGTTTAAAAAATAACACGAATGTAAATCGCCTTCAATTATGAAACAAGCAACTTGTCCTACAGTTGTGCATCTGTTGCTTTGGTCGCCGGCCGGCGCCCTCTGCAGTTGAAGTCTTCATCAATATGATTTAGTCACGCATAATGACTACAGGGTGTATTTTACTTGCTATACTACGTTTGAATATTAAAATTCTGCAAATTGTTCAGTCCTTTACGTTTAACCCTATTAGTATTCTATACTTGTGTACATATTGTAGTATGCTTAAGTATGTCAACATACAGAATAGGACTATCAAAACCTATTGTGCCTGGCTTAAATAAACGTGTTCAAACCTTGAGAAAAAATTTAAATCCCTCTCCTCTTAAATCTTATTCTTTTCCCTTCTTCACTTTTTTGTCCGATGTCTAATACGTACTCATGTCACAAATGGATCGGTCATTCTAAAAAATACTTAAGCGCCAGAAATGAAAGTGCAAGAAAAATAGGAAAAACTATATTTTTTGACCCGTTTTAAATCTTTAAGTAAGGAACACGGTTATTAACGAACTGAATAATTTAATATTTTGGAGCTTTGAGATTTGAGACGAGTGGATCCAGTTTTGTGGTGTGTTTTCCTTGTATATTTTAAATTTGGCACTTAAGTATTTTGAGAATGAGAAATGAGCCTGTTCCAAAATTGTTTTATTGCTTTCGTCGAGAGAACTAAGGATCCTGATGTCGCAAGAGTTTTCCTGGAGTTTTTTGCCCTCCAGAAGCCCCCCCCCCCCAAAAAAAAAAAAAAAAAAAAAAAAAAAAAAAAAAAAAA